GCCCCACACCAGACATGCTGGCCCCACGGTTTGCTGCCGGTTTGTGGCTCCTGCTCTTGCTCAGGGCTCAGAGCTGAGCTGGGATTTTGGGGTGGCACCCAAGGGCAGGGTTTGGAGCTGGGATTGGGGTGCACAAGGTTAAAGGCAGGGCAGGGAGCAGCAGCTGTGCCTCCCGAGGTGAGGTGAGGTGTGCAAAGCACGCTGCACCCTGTCCAGAGTACAGCCTGCTGCTCCAGGGCTGCTCCAGAGATGCTCCTCAGTGTAATTCCCACTGAAGTGAGCAAAACACACTTCACCATGTCCAGGCTGCTCTGCCCCAGGGTTACTCCAGAGATGCTCCTCAGTGTAATTCCCACTGAGGAAAGCGGTAAAATGTACAAAGCACACTCCCCCATGTCCTGGCTACTGTGCTGCTCTGCCCCAGGGTTACTCCAGAGATACTCCTCAGTGTAATTCCCACTCAGATGTGCCAAGCACACTCCCCCATGCCCAGCCTGCTGTGCTGTTCCGCTCCAAGGTTACTCCAGGGCTGCTCCTCAGTGTAATTCCCACTGAGGTGAGCAAAACACACTGCACCATGTCCAGCCTGCTCTGCTGCTCTGCTCCAGGGTTACTCCAGAGATGCTCCTCAGTGTAATTCCTACTGAGCAAAGTGGTAAAGTGTGCGGAGCACACTGCACCATGTCCAGAGTACAGGCTTATGTACTGCTCTGCTCCAGGGTTACTCCAGGGCTGCTCCTCAGTGTAATTCCCGCCAAGGTGTGCACAGCACACTCCCCCATGTCCAGAGTACAGCCTGCTGTACTGTGCTGCTCCAGGGTTACTCCAAAGATGCTCTTCAGTGTAATTCCCACTGAGGAAAGCGGTAAAATGTACAAAGCACACTCCCCCATGTCCAGGCTGCTGTGCTGTTCCACTCCAAGGTTACTCCAGGGCTGCTCCTCAGTGTAATTCCCACTGAGGTGTGCAAAACACACTGCACCATGTCCAGAGTACAGACTGCTCCGGTGTTCTGCCCCAGGGTTACTCCATGGATGCTCCTCAGTGTAATTCCCACTGAGAAAAGTGGTAAAGTGTGTAAAGCCCACTGCACCATATCTAGAGTACAGGCTGCTGTGTTGTTCTGCCCCAGGGTTACTCCTGAGATACTCCTCAGTGTAATTCCCACTCAGATGTGCCAAGCACACTCCCCCATGTCCAGCCTGCTCTGCTGCTCTGCCCCAGGGTTACTCCAGAGATACTCCTTAGTGTAATTCCTACTGAGAAAAGTGGTAAAGTGTGCAAAGCACACCATATCTAGAGTACAGGCTGCTGTGTTGTTCTGCTCCAANGGCGTTCCCCGATCTCACACCCACAGCCGTTCCCTGGCGCTTCCCGCAGCGTGTGCCCAGCAAATCCCCCGAGTGCAATAATCTGCGTCCTCCATGTTCCCTCATGCACGGCACAGGAGTTCCCCGCTTCACCCCGCGGGCTGTTCCTCCCGCAGGAAGCCGCGTTTGGGGTGGTTTAGGCACTAGAACTGCTTATTCCACTGATAAAAATACATCTCAGCATCTCCACACTTCATAATTAATCCTAAATATTCCCATCCATCAGGAGTCTGAGTGCAGGCCCAGGACAGGCTGTCCCCCCTTGGTTAACACAGCTCCTGGCATGGATTAATTTATTTATTTGTGAGAGGAATGAGGGATTTGTCTTTCCAAACAAGCTGTGGGGGTGCTGGGAGATAAAACCAGCCCTGGGAGAAAAAAGAAACAATGGGAAGGATCCCCCTGAGTGATGAACGGAATAAGAGATTTGCTTTTATAAATAAACTTTAGGTTTGCTGGTAAATGAATTTGGGTATTGAAAGAAACAATGGGGAAAAATCCCTAAACTCAGTAAGAATTAAAAATTAAAAGGGTTATATGTTAGAGGGGAATCTTTGGGATCAGGGAATCTGAACCTCTCAAGTACCTCAGAAATGGGGAAAGAGAAGGGAAATGTAGCTGGGAAATTGGGATAAAAAGGAGGCTGTGTCTTCCAAAAATTCAAGAGATCCCAGGGGATGCCCCCTGGCCTCTGCCTTGATTGGAATAAAGCCAGAAAAGACTCCTCTGTCTCCTTTCTGTACATAAACCTCTGGTGTTTGTGGACTGATTTTCCTAACATTTGGGAAGGAAAATGGTGGAAAACTGCGGTTTTTTGATGTCCCTGGGGGTGAGGGGAGCAGAGGGGGCAGAGGTCGGGAATCACCTGAGGTCACGCTCAGGGCTGTGGCTGCATCCAAAGTTTACAGGGAATAAAGGCCAGGGAGGCTCTGGGAGCAGGAAAGCAAACACAGAGTCCTGGCCAGGCACAGGGGAAAACAAAACTGGGAGAAAAAGCTGCTCACTTTTTGTAGTTTAACAAGGTTTATTCAACCTTATCGAAATACAACACAAGAGTGAATAGAGGAAAAAGGTTACCTGTTCTGAATAGAGAAAAAAGGTGCCAGGAGCAAAAGATTCCCCCCCGCCATGTGCTCAGCCCCCTCACAATGGAGGTTTTCCCTTTTTTAACCCTTTAACCCCTCCCAAAGTTCTGTCCATTAACCCCTTCTTTGCTGTCCAGGGTAAAGAAAAGAGAGATCTCTTTCATTTAAAGGGGTAAAAACACACAAGAAAAAGCGCTTCGGGTTTTCCCAGGTTAACTTTAGGCAAAAATGCTGTTGGTAACACTTGAAAATCCAGCACAGGAGCACAGGAGCAGATCCCTCAGCCTGTTCCTTGCATGTGTCCGTGACAATTCCTGTGTGCAAGCCACATCCTGAGATAAGGGTGGCAGC